GGAATTATAAAAATTATATGAAATAAGGAAAAACTATGTGACAATATTGTATTATAAAGATAAAAATTCACGTAAGAGTTTACCTCGTGATCTTCATCTTCATCTATTCAGAGATTCACTTAGCTTAAGATTTCTTTCTAAACTATTCCATAATGACAATGTTAGATAGTAGAAAGTCCTTTGTCCTGTACAGGTCTTAAAAAGAGGAGTGTTTAAAAGTTACGAATTTCGAATCAAGAATTTCGAAGTTGCGAATTTCGAATCAATCTGATTGGTTCTTAACGCCTCGATTTTTTTTTGTCTATGACCACTGTCCTGGTAACGAACGCGCGATGTGTATGTGTGGAAAGGTTCAAAAACTATAAAAATTAATTTGAGAGAGAGAGAGAGAAAAAAAGTTATTTACCGACGTAGGGTCGGTCTGTATAGTGAAAATCTGTGACCTAGGGCTTGAAAATGCTGCTCTCGGCCTACGGCCTTCAAGACCTCGGTCACGGTTTCTTTTTTTTTGTCACAATACGGACCTCCCAGCGTGAAAATAACATATATTTATTTGCAATACATTGAAACCAGTTTAATCGAAGATAATTACATAATTTCTTTGACAATAAGTCGCTTACAATCCTCTCTGTTACACGCCTTTCTATGAACAAAACAAAAAAAGAAAAAAAAAATTAAAATAGTGGTAGAAGGAATATACCCCGAATGCAAAAGGGAACTTATTAACGTCTTGGACGCAATTAGGGGGCTACGCGTGGGTAGTTTTTGCGTGCGTCGTTTTTACCATTTCACTTCTATTTGTGTGAGTCCGGCTTTCGGCAATTACTTATTTGGCTCTCTAAGCGTGAGACTAGTTAAACAGCTTAACAAAAACACGACACCCTAGAGTTTAACAAACGTGATTCGGCAGATGTTTTCGCCATCTTCAGTGTAAATTGAACATAGTGTGCAGTACACTTAAATATCACAGTGGTTCATGATTTAATTTAAATTTGTATTAAAATTAACAAGAACTTCTTCTAAATTTCTAAAATTTAGTTTGCACCTGAAATGAATGTGCTTATACCATTATTAATTAAACAGGACTACGGGTGTAGTGGTCAGTGTTGCTAAGATATCAATATACAAAGCGTTCTAAATTATCATGTTAAAGAAATTAGCCACACACCAGGCGAGATCATAGTAAATACGCAATTTAATACTCGCAAAAGTTAAAAATCAGAGCACAAGATTTTATAGTTTTAGAACGTATCTACAAGAAAAGAATTGTGAAAAAAACCGCTTGAGCAAATGCAATTAATTTTGCATAAAGACTTAGTATTGCAGCAAAGTTGTCCCTTGCGCTGCTTCACCCTGTTTTATTGAGGGTATCAAGTTGTTGCCTAGAAGTGTTCTTGTCTGGAATAAAAAGCAAAGGGAATAAAAATTATGTAGCATAAAAAAAATCATGGAACTAGATTTGACTTTAAGTATTTCATATTTACGACTTACGTCAAAAAATCCGCTCACCCTACTCCTCTGTAAAATTCATTAAAATTGATGTCCAGTGGAGCTCAAAACATTGCAAAATTGGCCAGTGAAATTTTAAAATTCGCTATGTTCAATGCTCAAATTGCTTTTCTAACTTATTAAATTCGGACTTGTAGACAACCATTAAATTGACGGCTGTGTATAAAGATGTTTTGAGCTGTGACACACTTTATTGAGTAATATTCTTCAATGTCCTCTCTGTGAGCTACCAAAGTTTCACTTGTTAAAGAAACGAAAGTAAATAGAATGGTAATAAGATTAATTAGTTTTTTATCCGTATTACTTGGCTTGTTTTCTAGAATCTTGTTATATCGTCTGGCAAGGCGATATGGCAGGAGGATTTAGGGTAGGATCAAAAATTTCGCTTAGAGATGTGTTTTTAACAGCTCTTGTATTGGGCTTTTGTAGGTGCGATTTTTGTTTTATAGATACAAGCCTAAGCCCATGACATTCCCAGTTTAGTTTCACCTTACTTTGAGTTACAATAAGGTTAGCTTGAAGGTCGATCCACGACACACTTTTTAAGGTGAGCACTCGTGGTGAGTGTTTTTCAATCTTTGTGTGCGTCTTGCGGCAAAAACGCGACTCATATAATTCGTTTATAGCCAACAGCGGCTAATATTATATTAGGTTAGTTTTAACATAATAAAACCGTTTTCATATCGTTCGTGCTGCTACAAGTTTTAATTGGTATATAACTTTAGACGCTTCCCTACACAAGGCACCCTCGAGGGTGGTTTTGCGTAACGTAGCCCCAAACCAAATTCCTTACCTTAATTCATACAAAGGAATCAGCGTTCATGCGATCAGTTTACAATTTTAAATTTCAAATAGAAATCCCTTTTAAAGAAAATATAGACTGAATCAAAAAGTTAAAAAAGTACATACCCACACACTATTACATCCGGGATTCTGCCTTGTTTATTGTAATTATTTCACTTCTAAGCTATACGTGGATGATAAATTGGTCTTTCAAAATATGTTAGGTTTTTTTTTCTAAATCTTAACGTCCATCCGGCCATAAGAGAATTTTCAAATGAAGCACTTTTGCAGCAAAATCGGTAAGGTAGATTTATGAAAACTTACACTGTGCAGAATTGCTAGCCAAACAATGGTTTCAACACTCAGAAAATAATTTTGTTTCAAAATTCAAAATGTAAGTGTGGAAATAAATGTAACGTGTATATAAAAATACTGCATGTAAAATTAATTTTATGTTCCACCATTTTGGAATCGATTCTTGAATGTCATCCCGGTTGACTGGGTTGAAGTTTCCTATATGAAGAGAGAACAAAATATGTCCCGGTAACCGAGACAGCCCGGTTATCGGGCTCATATGAAGAGGCCCTAAGTCAAGTAATTTTTCTCTATACAAAATATTACAGACTCTTTCACAATCCTCTGGCGGACATTTTGGCGCCTCTTACTTGCGTCAAGAGGTGCAGATAGCTAAGTATGTAATCACAACAATCATCGATGACGGATATGATCTCCTTTTTTGTGGTTATTACCCAGGCAGTGAGGCCTGGGTTTAAATTTCGGCCCCGTTTTTTTTTTTTTTTTTTT